ACAAATAATAAAATAGAACATTAAAATCAAGATGTATCTCGCTGCATTGCTCGAGTACTCTTCTAGTTATTTAATTTAAGTTTAATAACGAAATAATTTATTTTTGGTTTAATAATATAATATTTTATAAAAATAATAATTAAGTATTTTGTTACAACTCAATGATTATCCTAATTATATTTTAGATTTTTTATATTTAAAATGAGATGTTTATTCAATATTTGATTATGTTTATCTACAGTTAGTTAGACGAATTCAAGTATGGAGCTTTAATAAGTTGTACTTATGCACAATTTACTTGTAATCATAAATTTTAAGTAATATGCATTAATAAATAATATTTCATGTATAAAAAATGATTTTTAAGAGTTTTTATCAAACGCTTTATAATATAGTATAGATGATGATGATCATGATGATGATGATAATAATAATAATAATAATAATAATAATTGGCAGGCATTGTGTCTTACAAAAGAGATTTGTTTGTGTGAGACTATTCAACTCATAAAATCACAACATAACATTGAAATTTTATAATAAAAGTATTGTGAAGGGGTTTTTTGTATCATTATATATAGGACTTGGGATCATGTGAGATCAATGATTTTCCATGAGACCCGTAAGACCAATTTTCAACCCTTGGATTAGATTTACAATCGTCAGATGTGAATATTCATAAACACCGCGAGACTTCTCAATAATTACAAAATTGTCACCTTGCAACTTTAGACCATTAGATCATTAGTTTATAAAGTTGATCAATGAACATAAATTGGTCTTACGAAAAACCATTGGTCTCACGTGAACCCAACCCTTATATATAGTGTTTTATTATGAAGCTTCAGTAATATTTTGTGTTCTTACAAGTTTCATGAAAAAATTGGTCTTATAAGATCCCAAGTCTATTACAATGACACCAATTATATATTATTTTTGAATTTTAATAAAATTAAATAATACAATTATGTTATATTTTCATGAACATAGTGTTATTTACCAAATAGTCTTTAGCCTAACGGTATATGAGTCATTGACATTCTAGGAGGTCAAGGGTTCAAACCTCATTAAAAATGAAGATGATGTGTGAGTTTATTTGTTCTATTTACCGTACATAAATATTATATATTTAAAAAAATGTTATTTGAAAGTATAATTGTTAAGATTCATAATATAATAAAATAACTTACCTAACAATCCATGTTGCAAATTAATCGGAAACATGTTATAGCCATACTTAGAAAGAAAAAAAAAATTATTTAAGTAATATTTTCAAAAGCTAATTTAAGAATTGTTAAACAGCTTTTTTTTTTAATAGACTTAAAAGATAAATTAGTTTATGATTGTCAAACATGACCAATATCATTTACTTTACATTCAAAATCAACATTTTATGTTACCAGTTTTTAATAGTTTACCTGATAAAGCCAGTAACTGCTTATGTAATTATGTGGACTTGAAATCTCTCTTTTCTTGTTATAAGATAGATAGATATATATATATATATATATATATATATTACAATTAACATAAATAGATCTTTAATTCCGAATGGTCAAAGTTGTTACACTTTTTGTATAATCAAACAAACAACACAATTTAAATTAAACCATTTCGATCTTATAAGTAAGGTTTTTTGTTTTCGTTTTTCGTTAAACATAAATTCCATTAGCTTTTTTTAATGACATAGCGGCAGCTTACTAAATGTTTACCAAGTGCTTAATAGAAAAAGCTACTACCTTCACTTTTCTTGTTGGGTAACGTTTTTTACTATCAAAATGGTTTGTTAGTAAACGTCTTTTACCCGGTAAATGTTTATCGAGTGTCAGTGAGAGTATTTCCTCACTTACTGAGTAAAACCTCTGTCTTTGCTACTCTTCTTATTGGGCAAGGATTTTAGTCATTGTCATGCTTACCACGTAAGACAAATGACGACCCATAAACGCTTATCCGGTAAGCATTTGATAAACGACCTCATAGACCAGTTAACCAAAAAAGAAAGGGCGAGGTTCGAACATTTATGATGCCTTCTCGAATTTGAGAAGAAAAAAAAGGAATAGGTTACCTAGAGAAAAAAAAAAGGAATAGGTTACATTTTGACTACTCCACAAATTGAGGAGGTGTCACGGACGTACCTAACGATATTTTTGAAAATTGGTTTGAAAAATAACTAATAGATGAACCAAAGGTCTAAAAATGACTATTTTTACTATTTCTTTATATTTTTATTGTTTTTATTCTTTTTTATCTATTTCCTCCCATATTTGGGAGGAATGTTTTGGAAGAAAAAATAGAACTTTTTTTTTCATTTTCCTCATATAAAACCTCCGAGAACACGAGGTATTTTTCTCTCCTGGAGAACACAACATTAACAGCACATATGTGACCTCCAGAAGTCAATACGGAACCATTTTTTATCGGAAAAAATATACATTTCTCTCTTATTTACTAGTGGGTTTAAGATTACATATAAATGATGACTAGTGAATGGTGTAACAGTTGTGACAACGACAGTAATGACATAATGGCCGGTAGGATGGAAGTGGTGCTTTGGTTAAATTGGATGTAAATATTATGTCTCTTTTTATAAAACCAAATTATAAGACGGAATTCAACCAATTCATTTCGCAAACCAAACACTATCATGGAATTTGATCAAAGTAATTCGTCATTTTAATTTTATCAAATTCCGCAAACCAAATCCGCCCATTAAGTCATAGTTGACAATCATAAGCTAATTTATAAGAACGTCTCTGATAGATATTTGATTTGTTAAAATTTCAATAATATTTTTTTAAAGGTGAGTTATTATGCAACCCTTTACATTTATACAACCAATACAACTCAATCACAACCGTCCACTTAATTTAATAAATATGTGATTTCATAAAAGTTTTTATTATTTCCTAATATAAAATATTGATTATAATTAATAAACTCTAGTCATCTTGCATAAATATTCAAATCATAAAAAATGAACTCTCATTATTTCCATAAATATCTCAATTAATTGAGTTGCATTGGTTGTACAAATGAACATGGTTACATTTGAAATATACTCTACTTTTTGATTTGTCAACTTTACAATTTATACCAATATATTTTTATTTATAAAATTACAACGATAATTTGTTGGTCAAATTGCGACCACTTACCATTTATGACCCCAATTCGAGAAACCGTAACCATGAAGTCCCTTTTTTCTCCAGCCTAACAAATTAACATTTATTTCATAAAATGTCAATTCAATAATTTATCATAGAAATTTAAATATTTTTTTAATTCAAGTCTAAAGTGTAATTCAAGTCGGTTTGACAAACTATCAGATAACACACCCACGGTGTTCCATTAGCCTATAATAAATGTTATCTAAGAGGTCGTTTACTAAACATTTATCCGCTAAGTGTCTATCGGTAAAATTAACACTATCACTTAATTATTTAGTAAGATTTTAGTCAGCAAAAACGACATCGTATGTAGCAAAAATGACTACCTTAGGAACATTTTACATGAATCTTGTATAGCGACAAGGCATATTATTTAAGGGAAAATAGTTTATAAAAGTTAATAACATCTACTGACGGAAATTAATATAGGTAGAAAAATAACAACCTGGTTACTATTTTTAATAGTAACATCAGAGGTGCAATAAAAAAAATAAAGCTGCCAAAAAATGTGGAGTTTGATAAGAACATATAGCGGCTTATAAATCTCTAACATGATGTCAATTGTATGACAACAACTATGATATCATCGTTTGGATTTGGATGAAAATAGTATATGTAGATAATTTGTCGTTTCCAGCATATGTATTTGTGGAACCAAATAACACGTAAATTTTTTGTCATCATGACTTCATGAGTTTGATAAAGCCTGGAATCTGCTATCAATCAAATCTGTTATCAATCAATGCAATATCATCTACGAAAAGTTTTTTTTTTGTATACTTATCTAATCTGATATAACGAAGCATTATTTTATACTGCTTACAAGCCTAGCAAATATCCACCCCTCATTTGACGTCAAGAAGTAGAGATATGACAGAATATAACAAAACCAAAGAGGTGGAAGGATTAAAATGATTTTTTTTTTATCAAACAATTTAGAATTTTCAAAATTGTTCATTTTAACTATGGGTGCTCATGGGTCGGGTTGATAAGGTTGCATACATTTGAATAACACAACTCAATGCTTGCGGTTTGAAAAATCTTAACTCAACTCAACTCAAACCAAAATGCAACCCAACCCGACCCAAACCGTACGGGTTGGTCGGGTTATTCGCATTGGTCGGGTTGATGAATTTGTATATTAAAATATTAACCCAACCTTGAATATGTTATTTCTCTACTCATATTTTTTTTCATCATCAACTATTTGATACAACTTATTCATACTTCTTAAATCTTACGTATATATGTTCACAGTTACTAAACATATATACGAATGAGTACATATAAATGGGGAATAGATTAAAAATACGTGTATATGAAGAGGGCACATAACAGTGTAATTGTCTAATGTACATATTAATAAAAACTCAACAATCATATTAAATCCAAGAAGAAAAAGGTTATCGGGTTCATCGGGTTGGGTTGAGTTCAAATAATAGTAATCCAATATCAACCAAATACTTACGGTTTGAAAATCTGACAACTCGATTAGACATCAGGTTGCTTGAGATTAAGTTATTTTGCATTGGATTATGTTAAATTAATTAGATTGGTCGGATTTTTACGCATCTCTAATTTTAACCTTAAATTTTTTTGTGGGAGTTATTGTCGAATTTTTCCTTTAATCTAGGCTCGATTTTATTTTTATTTAGATCCGATTTTTAAATAAATATTTATTCTTAGACTAGAAAAAAACATACAATACTAGAACATGCGGGGTTAAATTGTAATAAGTAACAGCACAGGGGATTAAAATGAAATATTAAATCAACAGAACTAGAAGCCCGCGTTTTCAGAGCATACCCGTTTTCGACTTCGGATCCAGTGAACCGATGATCCATTTATGGGGTTTTCAATTCAGCATAGGTGGGTTGAACGGGTCGGGCAAAATATTAAAAACGATATGGATAGAAACTAATTAAATAATTTAATAAAAACTATGATAAAAAAATTAGTACAAAAAACTGTTATTAAATAAAATTCATTAATTTAGTGAAAGGTTGTATAATTTTGAATCATCTTTGATCTGTGTCATATGGGACTGGGGAGAAATCATATAAAACGAAGGTAAAAATAGAAAATTTAAGCTAGTTAACAAACGTTTTTAAGTCTGTAAATTTGTTGAGATCTAACAATCTGGTGTGAACATCTATAATTATAAATGAACATCTTTATCATTAAATATCTGTAATACTAAAAGGTGACCAACAAAGTAGTCGTTAAAATGCATACAAATTATTTTAGTCGTTGTTGGAGGAGATATAATCCACAAGATTAATAAATGCTGATGTTAACAATAAATCTTTCAAAACAATTTTTAATACACAAAATATAATTAAGAAATAATTTATCTTATAAGCGTTTTTAATTTATAATATAAATAAATTTCCAATCATTATACAAATATTCTTTTTGACCCTTTTAGTTTTCAATTTTTCTTTTTGAAAAGCAGTGAAATTTTAGTAGAAGGAGAAAGTATACAAAGCCTAAAATGATACATACAAGAAGTAGAAACTAAAGCAATGAAAAAAAATACACAATTGAACCAATAAAACAACAAGAAAAAGAACTAAAGGAAAAGAACCTCAAATGACTAGTAAATACTGTTTGAGTTAACAGGTAAACAGAAGCAACAGTAATAATACTACAATGGTTAAACACGAAATGACAAAGACACAATAATCTTTAAGAAAGCGGTCATGTCGGCTGTATTTCAATTAGCTTGAAGAGATTATACAAGAACACATAGTAATTGTGTATCGAAATTCTCTCAACTAGTTGAATATCACAAGTACAAAATACACTCTCTGAATATGGTAGGAACGCGACTTTTTGATATGTGGATTGGCAAAGATATCCTTAGTGGAATTGCCCTTTTATAAGTGTTTCCAAAAAAAAAATATATTCCATAATTGGCACGATTAGTAGGGGCTAGTCGCTGAACACCTATTGGGGATATAGCACCAATCAACCCAAGAGAAGTTAAAACTTTTTACATGATTTGCTAACTATTGAAAGGTAAGAAGTTGAATATCGATACCATTGGCGGATCCCGGAAATTAATGGGGTGGGGGCACGTTGGATGGGACTTGGGGACGGAAGCATATGACCATATGGGACTGGGGGAAACCATGTAAGACGAGGATGGAAATTATAAATCTAAACTAGTCAACAAACGTTTTTGGTCTTTGACTGGGGGGCCTTTCCCCCTGGTCCTTAAGGGTTGGTTCCGCCCCTGATACAAACCATAATTAATGCTTATATTATATGAAAGGATCGATATATTTATGGATCGATCATGATTCATTTTTTATGATTGAGTTATATATGGAAGATGATAACGTTCATTCATTAAAATTGTAGCTTTAGATTAAGAAATAGAATTGAATCAGATATATATTAAACTAAATAGATGACTAAGATTGGTTTGTATGGTTTGTATTCTAAACCGTACATTTATACATGGGTTGGTTCATTTGTTGACTAAATTTTTGGTGTTAACTTTATGAACCAATCATAACTTTTAATTTATTCAATTCACGGATTAAAACATCACTTGCATTTTTGTAGTAGTAAAATGAATGTGTGTTGTGTCGTAATGAACAATAGTGAACATGGTAAAATTGGAAAAGATCATGAGCTTTTATTATACACTGATTTCAGCTCCCGAGAATCTCCCCTTCATCGTTTTGAAACCGAAATCAATCCGTTAGTTTGAGTCTATCGGGGATCCCGGGCCCAGCCCCAAGACCCGTTTTAACGAGAAATCTTCGTCTCCGTTCGGGTCGGATGAGCCGGGTTCCCCACCGGGTCGAGGCAAATCACCATTCTTAATATGTATTTATATATAATCTATACAATATTATTGAGTAGAGTTGACATCTACCAAATTACAAACGGTTAAATCATAGAAAAATAGCTTTTTAAGAAATTTATAAACTTACATGTTATCCAATATATTTTCATCTACATGTGTTGTTTCAACGAGACCCAAATCAAACATCATGATTGCATTAGCATTTGTACCTTATGCATCAAAAATTGTACAAAAGTCCAGTTCTCTTTTCCATATAAGTAGGGATCAACTCCTCTGCTCTTTAAGCACTTCATTTTCTCAGATTCTAAAATCTCTCTCTCTCTCTCTCTCTCTCTCTCTCTCTCTCTCTCTCTCCCCCATTATCTCAGGATACAACAAAAAGCTTCTGTTTTCATGAAAACACACACACAACACACACTCTGATTAATGGTATGTCTCTGTTCTTCCATCCCCTGTTTTTTATTCAAATTCAAATTCACATGATTCGTGTTTTATTTCTTGATCAAATTGTTTGTGATTTGTTTCCCACAATCCGCAGGAGAATAATACTGAAACTTTCAAATACGAAGAGGTATAATTCAAATCTTATCATGTATATTTTCAATTTTTCCATCATAATGCTCTGTTTTTCGTTTCTTCAAGAAATCACAAATCAACCCACCAAATTTCTGCAAATATCTTTCAGAACTTCATCGTAAACTCAAAGGGAATACGCCTATTTACGTGCCAGTGGCTGCCAATTGATTGCAACCCGAAAGCTTTAGTCTTTCTGAACCATGGCTATGCCATGGAGTGCAGTTTCTCCATGAAAGGTCAGCTTGATCATGAAATTTAATCAAATTCTATTATTGGTATTACGAAAGAAGCTATTAAATTTAAATAAATAGGAGCGGCAACGAGACTCGTGAAGGCCGGATTCGGAGTTTACGGAATTGATAATCAAGGACATGGAAAATCCGAAGGAATTCTGGGTTTCATCCCTTCTTTTGATGATCTTGTTGAAGACTCTTCTCAATTTTTCACAAGCATTTGTGGTAAGTTTTTATTTTTATTTTTAGTAAAAAAGAGATTGAATTTGGATCTTGACCGTTTCAATTCATAGTAGCATAACAAATTAATTTTTTTAACATATTGTTTTTAATATTTAAATTTTAAAAATACTAAAAAACAATATCAAAACTTTATTTTAACGACTTATTTTCTTCGTTTAACAATCTGATAGATTTGGAAACCGATAAATTTTGTAAACTAACACGTTTTCATGTCGAACAAAAAACGAAATATGTCTCGATGAGACGAGAGACTCCGTTTTTTTTATTATAAAAATTGGATTTAAAAAAAATATTATTGGTAAATCCGAGCTGGAAATATTTAAAAAAAATAGGTATTTATTTATATTTCAGAAAAAGAAGAAAATAGAAATAAGTTGCGGATATTGCTTGGAGAATCGATGGGAGGAGCGATGGTTCTCCGGTTACATATGAAGAAACCAGACTACTGGGATGGTGGGGTCTTGGTTGCACCCATGTGTAAGGTACCTACGTATTTTCTGATCAGATATTTATTAAAAATTAATCATTATAATTATATTTAATAATATTTAAATGAGTAAATTTTGTTTAAAGGTAATATCAAATTATGTTATGTAATTCAAAATAAAAATGAGAGCAAACTACAAATTTGGTCCACGTAGTTTGTTCGCTTTTTGAAAATTAAAAGATGATTATCGTGGTTTGCATAAACGTTTGATTTTGGTTTCTTTTTGAACGGTCGTTAAAATATTCTGTCAAATGAAAAGCATTTTCGTTATTTTATCGATTTTTTGTATTTTATTTGATCAAAATCGATTTATGATTTTGGTCATGTGGTTTTTAATTGGATAAAAGACAAAAAGGATAACAAAAGGGCGAAAATGGTACTCGTTCAATGAATTTTTTTAACGACCGTTAAAGAAAGGAATCGAATTCAAACGTTTTTACAAATCATGATGATTATTTTGTAATTTCGAAATTATAGAGGTGAAAACATGTTATTTTGACAATATTATAGGCCAAATTTATAGTTTTGTCCAAAAATTATAAATATGTATTTTAAAGAATAATTGAAACAAGAAATTTTGTTTAGGAGTTTGGGTTGACCATGAACAGTCAACTTCAAAATCCACCTATTATTTATTACAGGTAATGTTTGGCAAAAATAAGTTAACATATAAACTAATTTATTTTTTAGGTATATGTTCGAATAAACATATATAATAACTTATTAGATCGCTAGTTTGAGCAAATTATGAGAAATTTTTTTCACTTTTTTCAATAGTAACCTTTATTAAATATTAATATATAATATATAAAATTAAAAAAGAAATTATTTTTGTTGACAATGGAATTCAATGTCCATAAAATCAAATGGTTGGCACACATGTTCGATATGGAGTAGATGGATTC